GGGCTGGCATCGCGGGGTCCGAGCGGGGCAGGAGAGGTAGGCTTCTCCTGGACGGGGAGAGAGAGGAAGTGGGTTACATGTGGATTCCAGATTGAGGGCTCGTTGCCTCCTGGGAGGCTGCCTGGATAGCGCCCCTGCCTGAAACAAACCCAGGGCCAGGTGTGTGCGGGTGCACTAAGCTTCTTGCGGGGGGGGGGGTTGGCTAGATATATGTTCTGGCTTAAGGAGGCTGTTGCCTCCAGGAAGGCTTCTTGGATTGCACTCGTTACACACCAAGAAGAGAAGAAGCCTATGGAGTTAATTTCGGGGGAAAGAGACGGAGAGATAAGTAAGTCATACCCAGAATTAGGTTGGATCCTGTTTAGAGGGATGGGGTGCGTATGAAGGACCAGTTTTCACAAGCTCCAAGGAGGCCACCCCTCTTACAGCCCTTATTAGAGGGACAGGGTGAGATCACTGACTTGGGCCTCCAGGGCTGTTCAGAGAGCTTGGGAGGGGTCAGTGATCTAAGGACAGAGGGAGTCCAGGGGACTGCAGCTCTGTTAGCAGAAGGGGGTCGAGGGGCAAAGACCAACTGGATCTTTGTGGATCTTTTTACTTTGTGGGGCTGGGATAGTGTCTCCAGGAATGGGTCCCCACTGCATCCTCTGAGATCACCGTCTCCAGGAGACCAACTGGACTTGCTTCTGATTTAGGGGTGGGGGTGGGGGAGTGTGGGCCTCCATCCGTGGACTCAACTCTCCTCTGGAGTCAGAATCTCCCGCAAGCTTCTGTGGCCTCATCAAGACACGGATCAGCCCATCCTTGGCCCCTTTCTGTTCCCTGCCTCCTATGTCATCCCAGCTCACTCAGCCCAAACTCCAACCCTCCAGCCACACGCTCCTTGGTCCCACCTGCCTGGTGAACCCATAAAAACCCACCAGGCTCAGTCCCCCTCCCCAAGCCACCATCGCCTCCAGCCTCTGAGCAGGTCACCCTGCTTCTAGGATTCACCAAAATGTGTGGAATCATTTTCTGTGACTTTATGTTTACTGTCTGTCACTTCCTGAGGGCAGGGGCCAGTGCCACTCAGATGTCTAATGGGCATCTCAAAACCCAGGTTCCTGATTCCTCTTCCCAAACCTGCTTCTCCTGCAGTGAAAGGAAGCCCTATCCTTCAGGGTGCTCAGGCTGGAAGCCTTGGGGTCCGGGACCCCAGACTGCCCATTCTCTCTCCTCTTCTCACTCTCCCTGTCAGTGACCCCAAGTGGCAACGTCGAGTCCCGACCTTTCCTCCAAATGCCCACTGAGGAGGCATGGCCTGGGACATCCTCAGATCTCAGACCCCAAGTACCCCACTGGAATGCAGCAAATCCTGTGTGACTGTAGCTTCCAAAGAGACCCAGAAGCCAACACTTCTCACGGTCTCCACGGCTGCCACCCTCATCTGACTCACCATCTCTCTCCTGGAATATGGCAGGAGGCTCCTCAGTGGTCTCCCTGCCTCAACCCCCCCACCCCCCCACCCGCCACTATTCTCCACAAAGCCAGCAGGATCCGGCCCTGTCTTCTCCACATCCTCCCATGTGTCTCCTCTCACTTTAGGAAAAGCTAAGGGTCTGTGAGGCCCTATGCAATCTGGCTCCCTTTCCCCACTCTCCCTCAGCCATGCAGGCGTCTACTCTCAAACACCCCAGGAACCCTCGAGTCTGCAGGAGTTTGCACTGGCCCTTCCCTCTGCCCAGGGTGCTCCCCCATCACTGGGCCCAGCAAGCAGCCTTCAGGGCCCATGAGCTGTCACAGCTGAGCAGCGCCCCTCGAAATCTTTTCTCCCTCTGACTTTTGACTTAATCATCCCTCTTCCCTCCTGGCTTTTCTCCTGCCAAGTCTGCAGTCTCTTTTGGAGAGTTCTCTTCCTGGTCCCCAGGTCCTGCCCAGCTCACTCTCCTTGTAGGTGACTCTGAATCGTGAGGTCCACCCAGCTGGTCCTCCAAATGCCCCAGTGAGGAACCCGGCTGGTCCTTCTCTCAGATCCCAAGTGTCAAAACTGACCAGCATCCCACCCACTGCTGCCCACCTCCACCAGCAGAAACCTGCTCTTGCCCAGCTGTTCCTTGTCTCCTAAAAACACCACGACCTTCCACCCAGCTCCCCAGCAGGAAGGGACCCGATCACCCTGAACTCATCTCTCCTCTCCCCCCCATTTACAGTCACCCCGGACTGGGAGTCCACCTCCCGAAGGAGGAAGACCCAGCAGGAGATGAGTCTGTGCAGGTTATCAGACACTCATAGGCCATGATATGGAGTGTTAATTTTATTCAGAGGAGATGGGAGCCATGGGAGGGTTCTGAGCAGACAAGGGATATGATCTGACTTAGGTTTTAAAAGGATCCTTTTGGCTGCTGTATGGGGAAGAGACTGCCGGCGGCAGGGGCAGAGGCAGGCCGGCCACGGAAGGAGCTATGGCAATAGTCAGTGAGAGATGATGGTGGCCTGGACAGCGGCGGGGGCAGTGGGAGGGGGAAGAAATGGTGGAATTCTGGATCATTTTGAAGGTAGAGTCTATAGGACTTGCACAAGACTTGGATTGGGTTGGAGGGCTGGGTAATGAGAAAAGAGGAACAAGGAATGATTTGCAGGTTTTGGACAGAGCACCTGGGAGGATGGTGGGGGCATTCCTTCGGGGGGGGGGGGGCACCAGGAATTCCATTTGGGCATGTCAGGTTTGAAGTGCTTAAGCGTCTTCCCCTGAAGACCTCATGGACCCCAGGCTGGGTCAAGCGCCTCCTCGTCTCCATCGCAGCCTGACCACGACTCTACCTGTCATGGTGACAGGCCTATCTCCCCTGCTGTCCTGTGAGCTCCCTAAAGGCGGGGACTGGGTCGGCCTCGTCCACCACTGTCTCCTCCCAGCTGACACAGAGCTTGGCACAGAGTTGGCGCTCAGTAGATATCTGTAGGATGAGGGAATAATAAATACTGCCGGAGGACGGGATGCCGACCCCTGGGATGCTTGTCAGAAGGGTGGATAGCGTGTGACATCTTTCTATCAGGACACAGGTTCTAGGGCAGAGTTGGGGCCTCCTGACCGTCCCCAACTGGAGGCGGGGGCAGGGAGATGGTCGAATCCCGGTCTGGGGGTGGGGAGTGGGCAGGCAAGAGGTCGGACCAGTGTCCAAAGTGAGGATCCTGGCCTGAAGGCCTCTGGGATACAGGTGTTGGGAAATCACAGACGTGACGGTCACCACCCCCAGAGAGACCCTCAACCCTCACACAGCACCGCAACAAAGAGCGGGCGCCCTCGGACCGACCCGCCGCGGGAGGAAATGCTCACCTGGGTAGAAGGCGACGCTGGGACGTCCACGCTGCTTAACCCGCGGAAGCCTGGGACGGAAGTGGCTCCGAAGACTACGACTCCCACAAGGCCTTTGGGGCTGTCTTGCCTACGGCTCCCAGAACCCCATGCAACAGCTCCGCCTGAGGCCCTTGTGACTCCTGGGCCAGCGTGGCCTACAACTCCCCGCAAGCCTTGCGGCCCCCTCTCGCACTCTGCCTACCACTCCCAAGATGCATTGCTCCGTTTCCCTTCTGCGCCTGCGCAGGCAGAGACGCGGCGGAGCGGAGTGTGGTTTCTTCGCTGTGGCAGCCTGCTGGCCCTATGTGGGCTGTGTTCAGATTATCTGCTTTTGTGCGATTGTTATAGGCTTTTAAAGGGTTTATAGAGCATATAATGTGGTCGGGTAGCGGGTGGGAATTGAAGGTGGGGGTGGAGGTGTTGATGGCGTCTGTAAAAGCGGCAGTTAGCGCGTGCGCAGGGCAGGGAGTCCTGAGGTGGGAGTTGGGCGTGTTTGTGCACGTGAGCGTGTCAAATGAGAGGGAGCAGTGTGTGAGCTGAGGTCTCTGTGCTGTTAGTGTGCTGTATGCTGAGGTCAGCTGTTAGTGATTTTGGAAGAGTCTCCTTGTGCCAGGCTGCCCGTGTGTTAGGTTCTGGTGACACAAGTGAAGTCATTGTCCTCTGAGCCCCTGCCTGGTGGGGGTGACAGAGACACAGTCAATATGGGGTGAGAAAACTTGACGTGGAGTTTTAGGAATTCCAGGAGTTCGATCTCAATCCCTTGCCAACCAGGGCATCAGGAAAAGAAATTCAACCAGGGGTGACTATGTGCGAACTTAACCACTCAGCCATGGAGCGGGCCCCCCATGATCCCTGTTCTTAATCTTAGTAATGTGTTCAAATGTTTCTGTTTGTTGCATCGGAGCATTTTCCTGCCATAACTTTTTGCATCCTGCCAGGAGTAGAAGTCCACACACTGCATTTTTGGTTGTTGTTTCCTATATCTTATTATGTCTGGAACAGCCCCCTCCCTTTTTTTCATGACATTGATTTTCTTTTTTATGTGGAAGAGAATGGGCCAGCAATATTACAGAATGTCTGACATTCTGTCTTTGTCTAACTGTTTCTTTCACAGTCCTATATCCCTCGGCTGGCCCTAATTTCCATTCCTATGGTTATCGTCCTAGTTCTGGCTACCTTCTCTCTCCCGTGGCTTCTCACACTTGCTTCCTCCCAGGGTTCCCCAGCTTCATCCTCATTTCCTGTCACCTCTTCACCATGCTTGCCCTGCAAATAAGGACAGATACTTATTGCTTATTCCTGACTGTAGCAGCAGCCTTCTAAGGTGGCCCCCAATGATCCCCACACCCTAGAATTCACGTCCTTGTGTAATCTCCTCCGTGTGAGTGTGTGCCGGACCTAGTGACTTGCTTTTGTTTCTGGTGGGGAATATTGTCGCTGAGCTAACATCTGTTGCCAATCTTCCTCTTTTTGCTTGAGGAAGATCGTCCCTGAGCTAACATCTGTGCCAATCTTCCTCTATTTTGTATGTGGGATGCCACCACAGCATGGCTTGATGAGTGGTGTGTAGGTCTGCACCTGGGATCTGAACTCATGAACCCCTGAACTCTGCTGAAGCGGAGGGCGCGAACTTAACCACTATGCCACAGGGCTGCCCCACCCCCACCCCAGTGGCTTGCTTCTAATGAACAGAATAAAATAAAGGTGATAAATCTTACTTCCAAGATTACGTTACAAAAGTCTGTGACTTTTGCCTTGTTCTTTCTCTTGTTCTCTCTCTCTTTCTCACTTTGATGAAGGCAGATGTCACGTCATGAGCTGCCCTGTAAAGAGGGCCATCTTCTGAGAAACTGAGAGTGGCCGTCATCCAACAGCCGGTGAGGAACCAGTAGTTATTTCAACTACAGCCTCCGCTGACATCTAGATTACAACCTGTGAGAGACCCTAAGCCACGGGACCCAGCTAAGCTGCACTCCACATCCACTGCATACTTCTCACTGAAGAGGGAACTCTCCTGTTTCAGTCCCAGATACGCCATTCTGCTGGACGTCATTGGCTTTTGCAAACTTGGTACCGATAAGAAAGAATCTTTCCTCTCTGGGGCTGCAGAGACCCTCTGACCCCCAAAGCCTAAAATGTTTGCCATGTGGCTCTTTGCAGAAAAAGTTGGCCAATCCTCGCTTTAGAGTCAGGCACTTCTCTCTGAGCCTCAGTTCTTCAGCTCTTAAGTAGGAATTATAGTAGTACCGCCTCATATGTGACGTATAACAACGTTATGAGAATTAGATGAAAACAAGCATTCCTGATCAAACCAGCTCTGAATCAGCACCACGGACAGCACCAACGTCCTTTCCTGGGGATCCCCAGGAGCCAGGTATGTCCTGGGCAGAGGGAGCGCCCCCTATGGGCGGTGGTCTGACCCCAACTGGGACAGAGGTGGGGTTGGTCAGGAACACAGCACAGAACTTGGTAGCTGGCAGAAAACCTCCATCTGGAGAGAGAGTGAGTGGGATTCAGAACATCATACCTGAGAGTCCTGCAATTCCCAGGGCACCAGGATCACCTGTGGAATTCACATCCCCTGTGACTGCCTGAGAGTCCCTACCATGTCTACGTGGCCCAGTCCTCCCTGAGACTCACCTTCCATTCCAGAAGAGCAAGAGCCCCTCCTACCCCAGCCTGAGCTTCCCCATCACGGCCTCCTACCCGATAGCACTGGAATCGTCAGTAAACCTGTCTCCCAACCAGATATTGTTCTCCTCGAAGGCAAGGGCTAGATCTCTCATATTCACCCCTTTACTGGAAACCTGAAGGCACAGGGTACATGATTGTTGAATGAATGAGTGAATGAATGAATGAAATTTCCTCCCTCACCTCATGGGACGAGTTGACAATTCTTCCTTCTCATGTTAACAGAAGCTTCCCATCTCCAAGCCCAATGAAACCTGGGCGACAAGACTGATAAAGTGGCTCCCGGTGCAGACAGTGGTGCATGAGACAAGGAACCTGTGTGGTTTGGGCAATTCGCTTGTCCACTCAGGACCTCAGTGTCTTCTTCAAGTTGGAGAAATGGGACTAGAAGGTCCCCCAGCTCTGATGGCCTGCCAGTCATAGTTCCTCTTTTACACAGAGTTAGATTCTCTGTGTTTTCCCCATGTCTCTCCTCCCTATTCTTCTGCTTTTTTTTTTTTTTTTTTTTTTTTGCAAATTGGGGACAATGGAAAACAGGCATGGCACGGCCACACCCTTCTGACCACAGGTGCTGCAGCTGCCCCTGCAGAAGGAGAGTGAGCGGCTAGGACAGGGGAGCCCGGGGTGGGGGGTGGTGGCGGGGGGGATGGGGCTGCAGGATGCAATTCCAGCTGAAAACGCAGGAAATGGTGATGGTGTGGGAGTGCCTGTACATGCTCAAAACAGGCACCTTCTTTCCTCAGGTTTTGGGTCATAGTTCTGGGAAGAGGATCATATGGGATGGGCAGGATCATGAAGCTGAACAGAAGAAGACAGATTGTAATTTTTCTATGTATGCAAAGTTATCAGAAATGCATGTGCAAAGCCAGAGTATTAGAGGCAGCATGCTCAGATCATAAAACTACAGAGCAAAGCGAGGAATCAGTTGGCATTACAGTGAGGCTGTGGCTCCTTGGAGCGAGTTGGGTGTGGGGCTTGGGAGGAGGATCAAGGGGGAGGACCTGGTTGCCCCCGATGTTCTATTTCTTGGAGGGTGTTCATTTTGTGTTGAATAGCTGAGCTGTTCTTATGAGGGCATGTCTCTGTATGTGTCTTATGTTTTGCCCCAAAAAGGTTTCAAGAAAACCGACATGGTCTGAGGAGGCGCCACCTCCCAAGATGCCCGCCACTTCCTCCCAGCCCTCACCACACAGTTGAAAAGAATCTTCTGTGAATTCAGGTGCATGTCTCTTCTCTCGTGAAATCCTCACCATCCTGAAGGTGGACGACTCCCAGGCTGGCGTTCCTCGCTCTGTGTCTCGTGCACACTGGGACTGCTGGGAGCAGAGCCCGCTGGGGCAAAGGCTCGGAGGCCAGCAGACCTCGCCGTGCTCTGGAGCAATGAGCAGAATCATGGCCCCATGAGCCACCAGCGGTGAAGAAATCCATCCTTTCGCCCAAACACCTCTGACAAATGCGGAAGTTTCTGCCCCTTTCGAAATCTTCCCCTTCCCTTCTATACTTTCTTCCCTTCCAAACCCCATTGTGCAGAGAATCACAGCCTCAATTTCCCGGGCATCCTCCGAGCTGGGCTCCCCTCGACGTCCCCGACTTGTGCTAACACAGGGAATCCTCGCCTCCAGCGCCTGAGTGTTCCCTTTCTCCAGTCCTCCTGACACTGAACCTCCAACTTGGAGGGAGAGTGACACCCCACACTGCCTATGTGGCCCCCATCGTGGCTCCTGTCACAGGGGACTCCAGCTTCTGGGCCACCTATTGTCTCCCCACTGGGCAGTGACTCAGGGCTGCAAACCAGGGCTGCTGTGAGACCTTGTGAGCAGAGAGGGGACGCCCACTATGGTGATGCTGAGGGAGGAACGTCAGTCGGCTTCCCTCATCTCTTGGTTCCCTGAGTCCCTCCCCTGGCTGGAATGACCTTCACAGACAGAGTCAAGGGGTCTGGCCAGAAGGGACCCATTTTCACTTTGCAGAAAAATGACCCCAAAGGGTACGGGCATTGGCCAGAAGGCAGGAGATGGGGCTCAGGCCCTGCATGGGGTGTGAATTTGGGTGAGGCTCTCACCCTGCCTGGTCCCAGGGTCCCCAGGAGTGGATGTGTGTGGAGGATTGTTGACTCCATGGGCTGTCCTGGCCCTGACAGTGTCTGGGGGTGAAGTTCCTCCTCTGAGGAGGGTCACTGTTCTGCCCTCACCCTCAGCTTCCTGTTGGAGCTTTCTCTAAATCTTGCAACTTTTGGTTCCTGAGAGAGAACCCTGAGAAACAGCCTTTCTGGTTACACAAATAACCAGCTCTCTGTGCATGTGACGGGTAAGGCGCTGGCACTGTCAACCCCAGAGATGCTGCTGCTGCTGCTGCTGGCCCTGCTCTGGTGGACGGAGGGGGCCAAGGGCCAGAGGGTGCCCTTGCAGGGTTACTCACTGCGGATGCAGGCGTCCGTGACAGTGCAGGAGGGCCTGTGTGTGTTTGTGCCCTGCGATTTCTCCTACCCCCGGGATAGCTGGACGGTCTTAACCTTTGCTCATGGCTACTGGTTCCGGGAAGGGGCCAGAGTAAACCAAGATGCATCAGTGGCCACAAATGAGCCAGATCGTAAAGTGAACGAGGAGACCCAGGGCCGCTTCCACCTCCTTGGGGACCCCCGGACCTACAACTGCTCCCTGGACATCAGAGACGCCAGGAGGAGAGATGAAGGAAAATACTTTTTTCGAGTGGAGACATATTCTTACAGAAATAACCAGCTCAATTTGCATGTGACAGGTAAGGGGCTGGCTCCTGGAATCACCACAGAGGAAGGACATGGGGGTCCTGGGGCAGAGCAGGGATGGGACTCTCCATCCTGGGTGGGGGTTGGGGATAAAACAGGTCAGGACTCAGAGGCAGGAGCTGGACCAAAGCCTGAGGCTTTTCTCAGGGCTGCTCCTCAGACCCTCCCTCCTGATCCCCGTGTCTCCCCCGTCTCCTCACCAGCCCTGAACCACACACCTGACATCCTCATCCCGGAGACCCTGGAGTCTGGCAGCCCCAGGAACTTGACCTGCTCTGTGCCCTGGGCCTGTGAAAGGGGCACGCCCCCCATCTTCTCCTGGACATCGGCTGCCCTCACCTCCCTGGGCCCCAGGGCCCGCCTCTCCTCGGTGCTCACCCTCACTCCACGGCCTCAGGACCATGGCACCATCCTCACTTGTCAGGTGAAGTTCCCTGCAGCTGATGTGACTGTGGAAACGACCATCCAGCTCAACGTCACCTGTGAGTGCTGGGCCAGGACGCCCAGGTCTCTGATGGGGTCCTGAGGCCAGTGGGGATGGTGGTGTCAGGGTCTCAGACACTGGCGCTGGGTCTCTGAAATCAGGCTGAGAGGGAGTCAGGAGGACACCCATCTCCACCCTACCCCCATTTCTGCAGCCCCTGGGGACAAGGACCAATGTCCACCCAGCCCTCCCACTGATCTGAGTCCACCATGTCTTTCTCTCCCAGACTCTCCACAGAACTTGACCATCACTGTCTTCCAGGGAAATGGCACAGGTAGGAAGGGGCTGTGAGCAGCTGTCCCCATCGGCCACTCACTTCCCTCAGACTTTCCACCCACCTCGGCTCCATAAGGAGAGCGGGGCAGCATTCACACGGCAGAGCCCACCTCTCGAGCCCATTATCACCCATCTCTTGATAACTCCTCCAGTCTTGTCTTTTTATTTTCCCTAACAATTGTTTATGTAAGTTCTTTCGAACAGGTAATATATTCACTTGATTGAAAATTCAGAATTTACAGCAGAGTCTGTCCTCAGATGCCCAGTCCCCTCCCAGGAAGTGACCAATTGAACAGACGGCTCTGAGCCTTGGTTTGTTCACCTAAAGGATCTCAGAGGTCCTTTGACATCAGTAGCACAGACTGTCCTCATTCTTCTCCATGACTGTGCAGTATCCCATGACCTGGATGGATTCTGCTTCCGTATGCATCTTTGTCAATGGAAAAATCATGGCATTCATTTTATTCTACTAACAGAAACACTGCAAGGAATACTCTGTGTCTCCTTTCACGAGTGTGTGTGTATGTCTGTGGGATACGTTCCTAAAAGCAAAATGTAGCTGCTTTATATGTTCTTTCTAATTTTGAGAGATACGGTATGGTGGGTGGACAAGTTTACATTCCCACTGGCGGGGGGTGAAATTGTGCGTTTTCCTGCTCTTCAACTTATATCTGTGTGTTTGTCCTCCTCATCAGGTCTCCTTCTGCATCCTTCCTCTTTGGATCTCTTTGTCTCTCTGACCCTCTGTCTCTTTTTCTCCAGCATCCACAACCCTGAAGAATGGGTCATCTCTTTCAGTCCAGGAGGGCCAGTCCCTGCGCCTGGTCTGTGTCGTTGACAGCAACCCTCCTGCTAGGCTGAGCTGGGCCCGTGGGAGCCAGAGTCTGAGCCCTTCACAGCCCTTGAACCCCGGGGTCCTGGAGCTGCCCCAGGTGGAGTCGAGTCATGAAGGCGAATTCACCTGCCAAGCTCAGCACCCTCGGGGCTCCCTGCACGTCTCCCTGAGCCTCTCTGTGCAGAGTGAGTGCACCAGTGGATGGGGGAGGGGCTGGAGGAGGAGACAGCACCCACCCCACCCTCACAGCCCCTAGCAGTCCCCTGAGCTTCAAAGGTGAGCTCAGCTCTGGTCTATACTCAGCTGTGAGACCTGGAAATTCCCTGGGACTCAGAGTGTCACCGTCCTCTTCCTGCCAGGCCAGGGATGTGGGGTGAGGTGAGGACTGGAGGGGGAAGCCAGGGAAGGAGTTGGGTCTTGGAAGAGAGGGCCTGGGGCCTGGACAGGTGTGTCTGGGGACACGAGGCCCTTTCTTTGGGGGCTGGGATGAGGGTCAGGGAAGTGAGCCTGTCATCTTGGGCACAAAATTTAAGGGGAAGCCAAGAGATCTCAGCAATCAAGAGAAGTAATATTGCAATGCAGTTTTTTTTTTTAAAAAAATTAAATTCCACAAAGAATAAAATACCAGCATTTTAATTAAAGACAGGCTGCAACTCAGCTCGTGTGTGCCTCACTCTCCTCACCCTAACGCCCATCCCCAGCCCCATGTGCCTGTTTTTGCTTCTGGGAAAGAAGCCGGAAGATAGAAGTCTGGTGTCCTACAAGGAGTGGAAGGAGAAGAGACTGAGTTCCCATAAGGGAGTCACCAATAATCCAATCTGTCTGCAGGAAAAGCGTGTCCTTTATCAGGAGCAGCACTGGGGGCCATCAGTGGAGCATGTGCTGCAGCCCTGCTCCTCCTGTCCTTCTACGTCATTGTCATCATGTGAGCAGTGACCCTGGGGAGGGAGGGAGAGCCCTGGGGTGGGTTGGAAGGGCAGGCAGCCCACGGAATCCCTGAACCAGAGCCAGAGGGACCTAGGTGGGTTGAGAGCCTGAAGCAAGGGCAGGAAGGAGGTCCCTGGGCACCTGAGTGAGTCTGTCACAACCCTCTGCCCCACTGTCCAGGAGGGAGGGAAACTGTATTCTCAACCCTGGGGTTTCTGGAACCAGACCATCCTCTCCCACCTCAGTTATGCCTCCAGCCCGTCAAGGGGGTCAGTCTGCCTACTGCACCCTGAGCTGGCCAGACTGAAAGGCTCTCTGATCTCTTCCCTCAGAGTGAGGTCCAGAAGGAATAAAGGAGCAAGCCCAGCAGTGGGTGTGGGGGACATAGACATGGAGGGTGCAAATGCTGTCACGAGATCAATCTCTCAGGTGAGTGACTTGGACGTCTCCCCATCCAGCATCCTGCCTGGACACCTCCTCCAGGATGGCCCCCTGATTGCCCCACTCAGCATGGGCAAGGTTGCTCTCGTCTCCTCCTCCTCCTCTTCCCCCAAGTCCGATCTCCATCTTGCTGACAGCATGACAGCCTTCTCCTCTTTCCTTCGGGCCAGGCACGGTGGAGTCACCTTCTCTCTATCCTCCCTTTCATCTGCTACAGCCAAAAATTCAGCATGTCTTGTCCATTTTTCCTCCTAAGATCAGCTAACATCAGTTTCCCTCTCTCCATATTGACCCCCATCATCGCTGAGGCTTCAGGATTTCTTTCCTGGACCCTTCATCTCTCTGCCTCTCATCTCCCTTGCCCTACACAGAGTGATCCTCTGAAAGCCATCGTGGTCCAGTTCCTCTGCATTTGAACATCTGTTTGTCCCCATCTTCCAGAGCAGAGGCCAGCAGAGTTTTCTGTCAAGGGCCAGAGAGTAAATACTTTTGCCTTTGTGGGCCTTACAGTCTCTGTTGCAGCCACTCAACTCTGCTTTGCAGCATGAAAGCAGCCAGAGACCATATGTAAATGGGTGATCATGGTTGTGTTCCAATAAAGCTTTATTTACAAACACAGACAATGGGCCGGATTTTACCCACAGGCTGTAGTTGGCCAACCCCTGACCTAGAAAATCAAACTCAAACTGCTCAGCCTGCAGCCCTGCACATTGCGGCTTCTTAGCACTTACCTCTCCAGAAGGGCCGGGGTCAGGGTGAGGAGAGTGAGGCACTTGCTTCAGAGGCAAAACTTAAAGTCATGCCAAAAATTTTATTAATCAATAGAAGTAGTGTTCTAAGGCACTATTTTTTAAAAATCAAAGTTAATTAAAAAATTCATGATGAGCAAAATATCAAAAATTAAACAATGGTAGGATCAGTAGACTGAAGTTAGTTAATAATTATTTAAGATCATAATTTTGTCGAGAGAAATTGTCGTACGGGGTGGCATTCTTAAAATAATGTTTTAATATGCACACTTTTCAGGTTTCCAATAATATTTCAATTATTTTAATATTCCAGAAAAAATTGACGATTAAAAATACATAAAAACATATATATATATATAAGAGCACACATATTTTCTTCTGCCTCAGGCTCCATTTGGGTCAGAGGGGCACTCTTACTAACACTGGGTTATTTACATTTTTGACTCTGTGAGTTTTTTGCATACATTTGATTTGAAAATCTTTCATTAAAATATTACTTGTCTCTATTACTGAGGTTTTTGGCTCACCTTGTAATTTAGCATTTTGGGTGAGTGCCTTCCCCATGTCACCCCGATCCTGACCCCGCTGTCCTGTCCACTCCCCCCCCCCCCCCCCCCCCCCCCCGCCTCACACTCTGCTCCATCCGCACTGGGCTTTTCATCATCGTCAGCCAAAACAAGCTTACTTTTGCCTCTGGGTCTTTGCATGGGCTGTTCCTCCCTCCTCTAATGCTCTTCCCTCCCTATTTGGCTGGAGAGCAACCACCAATGGGGCTGCCAGCGAGGTTGGTGGACTTTGAAAAGTGTGATACTTGTAGTAAAATAAGGAAGGGCCTTCGTTTAGAGAAGCCACGCACCTGGGTCACCTACTGCTGCAGAGTCCAGAGAGGTGAGGACTGAAGATGGCCATTTGGATTTCACTAGCAGAGGTCACTGGTGTGCTGGATAATAGCAGTGTGGGGAAGTGGTTGTGTGTGTGTGAATTTTAATTTCAACAATCAAGAGAGACTCGGAGGAGCACAAACATTAACAATTCTGCTGAAGCGTTCTCTTTTCAAGGGGAGCAGCAGAAAAGGATGCTCTCCAGGCAGCACCTGTCACTCTCCCCTGTGTGAGTCTGTATTAGCTTCTTGTTGCTGTTGTAATAAATTACCTCCAATTTTATGGCTTCCAGAAACATAAATTTATCATCTTACAGTTCTGGAGGTCACAAGTCCGAAATGGGCTTCACTGGGCTGAAATGAAGGCGTTGGCAGGCAGGGCTGAGTTCCTTCTGGAGGCTCCAGGGGAAAATGCATTTTCTTGCCTTTTCCAGCCTCTAGAGGGCGCCTGCATTCCATGGTTCATGGCTCCTTCCTGCATCTTCAAGGCCAGAAGCATAGTATCTTCAAATCTCTGTCTGCCTCCTTCTTTCACTGGTCAAGCTCCTTATGATTACATGGGGCCCACCCAAACAATCCAGGAGAATCTCTCTGTCTCAGTATTCTTAATTTAACTCCATCTGCAAAGTCTCTTTTGCCATGTAAGGTAACACAGTCACAGATTCCAGGGGACTAGGATGAGGACGTCTTTGGAGGGCTGTTATTCTGCCTACCACAGGGACATAGTTTCTTTGACTTACTTGTCCTCCCATCAAACTATGAGCTTTCCAAGGGCAGGTGCCATGCCTGAATCAAGGCCCCATAATCCTCTCTCACCCAGTGCCTGTCTATCATATCATAATTCACAATTAGATATTTATTTGTTTAACTCATTTTTTTTTTTTTGCCTCCCTTTAATAAAGAGTAAGCTGCAAGAGGTCAGGGTCTGCGTTGGCTGTGTCCATCACCGTATATCCAGCACCCAGCTCAGGTCCTCACACACAGGGGGCCTCAGGCTTTGGGATCAGAAAGAACTGGATTGGACCCTGGTTTCATCAGGAACTCTGAGCATGGTGCTTATTTGGTTCAACCTTAGTTTTCATATCTATAAAATGGAGGCAAAAATAATATCTTTCTTATGAGGTTGTTGTGGGAAGTTCATGAGAGTATCAAGCACCAGATAAGGTGCTCGCTAAGTATTAAATATTCGAGGAAAGCATGAATGAAGGAGATCTCAACAAACGTGTGTGTGGGGTGAATTGGTGTGGGAATTCATAGGCTTCCCTCCTGGACACTCTGCCTTATCCTGTGCCTGCTCTTCCGCTCTGACTCCCTTCTCTCTTCCTCCACTCAGGGTCCCCTGATTGAAGGCTGGGAAGGCAGCCTCCCAGACCACCTTCCCACAGAGCTGGCTTCCCCCTGCTCAGGAGAGGAAGAGGAGCTCTATTATGCAAACCTCAGCTTTTCTGGGATGAAGCCTCGGGACCCGCAGGAACAGGAGGCCGCTGGTAGTGAGTACTCAGAGATCAAGATCCACAAGTGAGCGACTGCAGAGACACGGCCCTGGCTTGAGGGGTCACGGCCCCTGTGGGGCAAAGAACAAGTCAGGAGCTGATTCCTGTAGTGTTAGACTCCCTCTAAATAGTGTGAAGAACCCAGGGTTTGGAACCAAAGAGTTTTGAGTTTGAATCCAAACTCTACCCCTTTACTAAGTATGTGACGGACCAACTGCTACCTCTCTGTGCCTCAGTTTCTCCGTGAGAACATGGATGAGAAGCCCTACTTGCAAGTTCATGGTGAGAATTCCAGGAGTCAAATCCTATCAGAGCACCCGTCACAAAATGTGTGTTGAGCACATGCTGGATCCTTGTGCTTTGAATAGAGGGTCACATTGGGAAATTCTCTTGATCTGGAGGGCACCAGCACCAGACCTCAGACCTTTAATGCTGTGGCCTCTCCTCCTAGAATGTCCTCCCGCTGGACCTTCTCTGCCTCTGTCTTTGAAAGTTGAGCTCTACAGGTGGACTTCTGGATTGAGATAGGAAAGTTAAGCAGCAGCTCATGATCCTCCCCTATAGAGACAAACCAAACAAATGAGAAAGGTTCCCAAATGATCACACGACCATCTGATGGATGAAACTACATGACCCCCAAAGTTCACCTACAGCACCCAAACGAGGAAAGGAATATATCACAGCAGTTACTTCATAAAGTAGCCTTGATGGAGAGAAATCAAAGGATTGGATGAGGCACTAAGATTCCCTCCAAATGGACCCCAGGCCATTTATAACAGCACCAAAAAAAATAAAGTAGCAAGAAGCAAATTTTTTATGTAAACATGCAATACTTCCACACTGAAAAGTACAGAGTATTGCTGAGAGAAATTAAAGAAGATCCAAATGAGCGAAGGAATCTACCATGTTCATGGATGGGAAGACACAATATTGTTAAGATGTTGATTTTCTCTGTATTGATTTAAAGTTGTCCCAGTCAACAGACATATATATATGTGTGTGTGTGTGTTTGTGTGTGTGTGTGTATACACATACATAAGTTGACAAGTTAATCTAAAACTTATATGGAAATATAAAGACCTAGAATAGTGAAACAGTCTTGAAAAAGAAAAACGCAGTTGGAGAAATAAGACTTTACTATAACGATAGACCAATCAGTAGAGTGTGGTGTGGACAGAATGGAGTCCATAAATAGACCCACACATTATACACTGAACAACACCCAGTCTGTTCCATTGGGAAAGGAAGGACTTCTCAACAAATGTGATAGAACCAGTGGGTCAAGTTTTGGAAAAAAGGAACCTTATAAATGATGTAATTGCTTATATACTTGAAATCATGCAGTATGTACTCACGTGGATTTTTTTCACTCAGTATTGAGTTATTTGCGATTCACCCATGTTTTGTGCATGTCAGTATCTTGTTCCTTTGTTGCTGAGCAGGATTCCATTGTATCACACATTGTTTACCCATTTTTATGTTGATGCACATTTGGTTGGCTTCCAGTTTTTGGTGATTACGAATAAAGCTGTTGTGAACATATTTATACAAGACTGTGTCCAGGTGTGTTTTCATTTCTCTCAAGTGTTGGGGGGCAGAGCCGAGATGGAGATGACGCGGTCAGAGTCACATATTGAGAGCACGAGGGTCTCTGGGTCTCCCATGGAGACCAGCATCCAGCAGGCAGCTGGAGAGATGGATGGTCTGGAGCTCAGAAGGAAGGTAGGACTGGAGATGGACAGTGGGAACATCCTAATAACGAATACCTGTTGTTGCAGGTTGAACTGTGTCTCCCGAAAAGGTGTATTTAAGTTCTCACCCCTGGTACCTGTGAATGTGATTTTATTTGGAGATGGGTCTTTGCAGATGTGACCAAGTTAATCTGAGGTCAGACTCGATTGGGTGGCACTCTAAATCCAATGACTGCTGTCCTAATATAAAGAGGGAAATTTTGACACAAACACATGTAGGGAAGAAGGCCGTGTGACAATGGAGGCAGAGATTAGAGTGTTGTGATGCCGGAAGGCAAGAAATGCCAAGGATTGCTCTTAACCGCCAGAAGTAGAAGGGGCGAGGAAGGATTCTTCTCTAGAGCCTTCTGTGGGACCGTGGCCCTGCTGAAACCTTGATTTTGATCTTCTAGCCTCTCAACTGTGAGAGAATAAATTCCTGCTGTTTTAATCCACCTGGTTTGTGGTAATTCATCACAGCAGCCACAGGGAACTAACACATTTGCTCAGCACCTACTGTACATCAGTTTCTCACCTGCCCTGTCTCATTCAATCCTCACAGTGATTGTGAGAGGGTCAGCCCTGTCCCCATGTCACAGAGGAGGCTTGGGTGAGCAGCCCAAAGCCACACAGGCCAGCAAGTGGAGGGACCAGGTTGAATTCACGTAGATGATCCCAATGGCACAAGAGGATCTTAATCAGCGGGCCCTGGAGGTCTGCCTTGTACCCAGGGCACTGTCCTAACTGATTTCTGAACATTCAAAGAGTCAAGCAATTCCCAAGTGCCCTGATGACCACAGCTGCCAGGCTGGCCGTCCACATTTCCATAGACGCGACCGTGAAGAGTATCTCTCTCTCTTTATCTCACTCTTCTCTTTCTTTCTCCCTCATGCTCTCATTCTTTCCTCTCTTTTTTTCTTTCCTTCTTTCTTTTCTCCCTCTGTTCCTGCCTGGGCACTGTTTTCTCACTGCCCATCCCAAAGGGCAAGTCTGTGATACTGGGTGAAGGTATTTTTGTCTATTTTGTTCACCAAGAACAATGCTTGACACAACATAAGCTCCCAATAAATATTTTAGATATTAAAAGATGTGATGCTTTTCCTTGCAAAATCTCTTTCTCCAGCCCAGGTCTTTTTTCTGACTCCAGCACTTTCCTAACTGTCCTGATGTTGTCTATAATGGCACCTTCAATGTTCCCCATCCTGCTGGGTGATGAGCCCATGGGGACAAGGATTCGGTCTGTTTTGACTCCCAGAGCAGTTCAGAAAATTTTGTTGATAGGATAAGTCCCAGATAATCCTCTGAGTCAGGTTGATAGGTCCCCAGGAGGCAAAGATGAGCAAATTCAGAGTCTACCATTTTCACAGACAGCTGTAAGTGAGTCTTCTCTTTGTCCTGGAGGGAGACATTATCTCATATCTTAAGGTTGTCCCCTGCAAACACAGCCATGAGAACTTGGCCACGTAAGGAGCAGTCAGAGCATCATGTTATGGGCAGACCCAGCAAGACTTGTAGGAGTACGAGGGGCTCAGGAGACTGTCTTTCCCCAAAGGTGGTTTTGCTCTTCTTTAATGATGTGAAGACCTCAGAATCTTCTCATAAAATTCCCCTTTGCTGGGATCAACTATGGTTCCTGTCGCTTGTGATCAACATGTTACTATATAAGCCTGGGACGTTTGACTGGTTCCCCATCAGAAAATCAGGAGGATGTAGTGAAAAGAGAAACCACAACACTGACATTTCACAACTTTGTTTCCTCTTTTCATGCTTTGTTTGAGGAAGTTGAAAAAGGAGATTACTGAAAGGAAGTGACATTATGGGAAAAGAAACTCCCTTTTTGGTCATAAATCCATTGCACTTCCTTCCTTCTAACAGCAACCAGACTTTGGTTACTTCCCCCAACTCCTCCATGTGCCTCAAAGGATGTGGACTCCAGAGTGCGAGATTCTTGTGTGAGCTCCATCAGCTTAAGATGTTCAGGTGGGAAAAAGCTGGGCAATGATGTAGAGAAAACGAGTGAGTGGGCGACTGAAAAGTTCTAACCAACAGCGTGAGTTCTACCGATCTTTCTTCTAGAAAGTTTATTCCAGTTGCCAAATTAGAAAGAACTGGAAACACTGATCATCTCCAAAGGCAGTGATGTTCTCACGCTTTCACTTAAAATAAAGTGGAAACAAAACAAATGCCCAACCTCATTTGAGAGATTTATTAAATGTAGCACATCTCCTCTTAAAAACAACCAGTGGGATGAAATCTAGAGGGCTAGGTAATTATCCAGAAAAATAAAATAGAACAACAACATAAAACCATACCTCCAAGAGGGTCAAAATGGCAAGGAACACAAATGTCTAGAAAAAAGGAAGGAAGTATCCCAAGGTGGTAGTCAAATGTTGTTGCCTCTGGGAAGTGACACGTGGTGTTGATGATATTATAGACTGTGTCATGGGCACCAAAGTACCTCACAGGTGGGATGGTGTTGGCACAGAGTAGACGTTCAATCGAAATTCTACCCTCTTTCTCTCTCCTCATCCCCAGACCCTTAGGTCTAAGATAAGTCCACTGAAAGTAACACCCACTCCCGAAACACTAGCTCAGACAGGAGGATTCAGACGCAATGTCTGGACAGACTACTTGTGTTAAGCATGAGGACACGAAAAGAAATCCCATGAATGCTATGCAAACATACTACAGGAGAAAGGGAGCAGAAAGATAGAAGAATGTGCAAGCCAAAGAATACAGTCCGGAAGCACTAATAATGCAAGGAGCAGAAGGCAATTCTGTTTAGGTGTTTGCTGTATGGAAGAACTTAATAAAACCGAATAATGACTCATAATAGCTCAAGAAAAATGTGAAAATAATTGTTAAATCTAGGTGATGGGGATATTATTCTATTCTCTCTTTCATAATTTTGGAAAAAAGTTAAATAAAAATGTGATCTTCTCCCAGTATCCTTACTGAAACTTTTCACATCAGTTTGGATAATTTCTATGAATTAATCATAGAGTTTATGGATTCTTTTCTCAATTCTTTCAAGTCTGTTGAGTCTGTCAAAGGCGTTGTCCATTTCTGCTATATTTTAAAAATTTCTACCATTTCCATCGATCTCTTTTTTAAAATTATCATCTTTCTGTTGAAATTCCCCAGGTGATCAAGCATTTTCCCCACCTTTTCCATTAGAGATTTTAACATAATAATTATAGTTGTGTTCATGTCTCTGTCCGATGGTTCCAACGTCTGGATCACATCTGAGGCTTTTTCTGTTGATTGCTTTGACTCTTGAAAGTTGGTTGATATTTCGTGCTTTTTGAGTGTTTCAAAATTTTTATCGACTGTTGGACATAGGGCGTAGAAGAGTAGAGACTGAGGTAAACAGAGCTTATTCCTGGAAATGGGCAAGCCTCTTCTCCTGTTGGGACCTTAATGTGGGAATTTGTACCATCCGGTCAGAATTGGGCTGGCTTTTGGTTTTGTGGTTGGGGTAGTTACCTTCAGTCAGCAGAGCTTCAAATTCCTCTAGCACAACTTATAGTTATGGCTGGCTTGTAGAAGAGGTTTTTCAATGTTTTTTCCACCTTTAGCTTTGGTCTTCCCTCTGACTCTTTTTCTCAGAGATCTCTCTCTACATGTTCTTGCCCAGTAGAAGGAATGCAGTACCAGTCATTATCTAGATAGTCTTATTTTGTTGTAAAGGACCTAAGAGGGACAAAAAATCATAAAAAAATGAATTCTAATACCTACATAACATAGTACATGAAAATTCCTTACTAATAGTTTGGATACTTAAATGTAAATAGTGAAACTTTAGATATTTTGTTAGAAAATCTAAAAGACCATATGTGTGTTCTTGGGGCTATGCAAGTATTTCTTAAATAGGGCAAGCATTTATTAATAGTGATGGAAAAGATTGATAAACTTGACTACATTAGAATTAAGAAGTTTTCCATAAAAGATGCCATGATGAAGATATTTGTAATAAAACTATCCAAGAAAGAACTTGTATGCAGAATATTTAAGTACCTGTAAAAATTGATAAGAAAAAGATTGGGGCCGGCCTGGTGGTGCAATGGTTAGGTTTGTATGTTCTGATACGGTGGCCTGGGTTTCACTGGTTTGGATCCTGGGTGCAGACCTACACATCGCTTTTCAAGCCATGCTGTGGCAGGCATCCCACATATAAAGTAGAGGGATTTGGGCACAGGTGTTAGCTCAGGACCAGCCTTCCTCAGCAAAAAAAGAGGAGGATTGGCAGCAGATGTTAGCTCAGGGCTAATCTTCCTCAAAAAACAATCAACATCTGAATAGAAAAATGGGCAAATCACTTAAGCCCTTCACAGAGGAAGATGTTCAAATTCCCTATAAGAATATGAGAAGTTTCTCCATATCATTAGTCGTCAAGGATACTCACAAGGAATTCCACTAATCTCCAGGATTATCATTTATTTTATTGAGATTCATAATAGTTTACATCATTGTGAAATTTCAGTTGTACATTATTTCTTGACTGTCACCACATAAGTGCTCCCCTTCACCCCCTGTGCCAACTCCCAACTCGTATTCCCCTGGTAACCACTGAACTGTTTCCTTTGTCCATGTGTTTGTTTATATTCCACATACGAGTGAAATCATCTGGTGTTTGTCTTTCTCAGTCTGGCTTATTTCGCTTAGCACAATTCCCTCCAGGTCCATCCATGTTTCTGCAAATGGGATGATTTTGTCTTTTTTATGGCTGAGTAGTATTCCATCATATATATATATATATATATATATACACCACATCTTCTTTATCCAATCATTGGTTGATGGGCACTTGGATTGTTTCCA